TTTTTTTTTTTTCTTTTGCATTTTAGGGGTTGGGGTCTAAAATAAATGTTCATATTTATATCTGTGAATCATTGGTTGTGAGTCACAGTATTGCATAGACTAGAGCTGTGTCCGTTTTCAGCAAAACAAATGGTGCCACAAGGGCCTCCCAACCCGCTTGGCGGAGCCCAGCACGTCCCACCATCCCTGTTGAGATCGAGTTCCGGGCTTTTGGGCGGACAGGGGGCTGGGATGCCTTCACAGAATGCATTCCCCTCGTTAGTTTCCCCACGCAACCAGTTCGGTAACCTGAATATGCTCGGCAATAACAACGTTTCATCTCTGTTACACCAGTCGTTCGGTAATGGGGGTGCGGGGACCTCTCAGCGCGGGCTTGTCGACGGCGGGCCCGAGCCTGCCCCACACTCGGGCATTGGGAACGGTATGGGTTTCACTGCCCCGTCTTCTTCCTATCTCTCTCCACCTGTGACAGCCAGTCAGAACTCGTCCGGTCAGGTTCAGGGGCATCAGCAGCAGTTCCCAAACACATCTGGGATGTTGACGGCCGACCAGCAACAACAGGCTCAACAGCAGCTCAACCCACAGAATTTCCAACATAATAATAATGTCAATCAGCAGCAGTTTCATCCTCCCGGGAATTCCCAGCAACAGCAACAGCAGTTTCAGGGGATGAGACCCGGTTTGGGGTCTGTGAAGATCGAGCAGCAATCGGCAGGCAGTGAGCAAGCGTCACAGCAGCAATTGCAGGCTCTGAGGAGTATGGGTTCTGTTAAAATGGAAGCGCAGCAGATGCAGAGCATGGGTATGGGTCCTGTGAAAATGGAAGCACAGCAGATACAGAGCATGAGAGGTTTGGGTCCCGTGAAATTGGAGCCCCAGCATTCGGACCCGTCTTTGTTCTTGCAGCAGCAGCAACAGCAGCTGCTCAGGCAGTCGTCTCAGGCAGCTGCAGCTCAGATTTTGCATCAGCAGAGGCTCATTCAGATGCAACAACAGCAGCAGCTTTTGAAAGCTATGCCTCAGCAAAGGTCCCCAATACAACAACAGCAGCAGCAGCAGTTTCAACAGCAGAACTTGTCAATTAGGTCTCCCGTGAAACCAGTCTATGAGCCCGGGATGTGCGCAAGAAGGCTGACGCATTACATGTATCAACAACAACACAGACCTGAAGTGAGTTGTTCTTCTGTTATGGTAATGCATTGTTTGAGAAAATGACCTGAAGTGGAATTAGTGCAATTGTATGGTCTGTTGTTGTACAGGACAACAATATTGAATTCTGGAGAAAATTTGTTGCTGAGTATTTTGCGCCCAATGCGAAGAAGAAATGGTGTGTTTCGATGTATGGAAGTGGTCGCCAAACTACTGGAGTTTTCCCTCAGGTTTGTTGAGCAATATATGCCAAAACATTTTGATTTAACCATATTGTTTCGTGCTTAATAAGAAACTTTATAATACCTCAAAGTTGCATCTCCATTGTTGAAAAACAAGTTAAGATTCATTGTTCACTTTAATGTTTTTACAGATTTGTGTAAATGTGTTTGTTTCACTGGTTATATGCAGGATGTGTGGCATTGTGAAATTTGCAACCGCAAGCCTGGCCGTGGTTTTGGTGTGTTTCTTTCTCTGTTATGTAACATTATCTATCATTCCTTTCTCCTCTTTTTAGTTACTTGTCCGCCAGGTGTTTTGCTAGCTTATTTGGCGACAATTTTTTGTTATCAACTTCTATGATTCGATTTACGTCCACCATCCTTGCCTCAAGGTCCTGCCATAGAAATTTAAATTTAAGAATGAAAGGAGAAAGATACCAAAAGCATTTGAATGAAAGAAGATACCAAAAGCATTCGACCATAATATTTTTGTCTTTGTAGAGGCAACTGTTGAGGTTCTGGCCAGACTCTTCAAAATAAAATACGAAAGTGGAACTATAGAAGAGTTGCTCTATGTTGATATGCCACGGGAGTATCAGAATTCCTCCGGGCAAATTGTTTTGGACTATGCAAAAGCAATACAGGAGAGTGTCTTTGAGCAGCTCCGTGTGGTTCGTGATGGTCAGCTTCGGATTGTATTCTCGCCTGATCTCAAGGTTAATGTGGAATAAGATAACAACAGATACACTTTTTGTTTTTTAGTCTTCTAGACCTGCTGTTTCACTTTTTGTGTGTGGATTATCTCATCAGATATGCTCGTGGGAGTTTTGTGCTCGACGCCATGATGAGCTTATTCCTAGAAGATTACTAATTCCTCAGGTTGATTTGAGGCCTAAGTTTATTGTATTGTTGTTTTTCATATGCATAATTTTCATGTATGCATAGTCTTACTGGTGTTAGGAGTTTTAAGCATGAATGATGTGTGCTTTTGTGACTGGTCTGGAACATAATGCAGGTTGGTCAACTTGGCAATGCTGCCCAGAAATACCAGGCGGCTACCCAGAACACATCATCCAATATCAATGTCTCGGAGCTACAAAACAATTGCAATATGTGAGTTTGATCGCTTCGTTTTCATATAAATCTGTCTTTTTGCGTTGTACAATTTATATTCATTTAGTAGGAAGTTGCTCTTTTTTCCTTCTCTTGAAATGGAAACAGTGTTTTCAATTGAAAGTGCTAGTTTGATACTAGTGCATCGCACGAGATATGGTATAAAACATATATTATTCAATAAATTAGTTAAGAAAACATGTCGAGTCTATTCGATATACTATATCAAGCAGTAATACTATGAACTTGCTTAAATATATTTTTTTTTATTTTTATATCTTTGATTTATTTAAAGGTTTGTACTTGACTATTTATTATATGAATGTTATTATTTATAAGTTTATAAAATATTATAAATGCCTAAGATTTTAATATGATATTTGTATACATATTACTTGCATGTACTTATAATTATCGATTTCCTTAGTCTTATAAATTTTTAACAACCCATAATTTGCATATTGTTCGATAATTGTCCAAAGTTTAGCTCTTCGTTTAGTATAATTTTAAGTGCATGACATATTATCCATTTGCTAATTGAACTTTAATTTTTAATAAACTTATTCGGTTATGCAGCACATATTTTTCATAAATATATATATATATATATATATATATTTTATTTTTTTAGCCTTTTTCTTCATATTTATTTCTTTATTTTATTTTTTTAATATATATAATGATTTAATTAATTTACAATTTAAATATTTAAATATATTATAAATTTCAATTATTACCAAAATTACATAATTTTACTTGATTATAGTATTTATTTACCTATTTTTATTTGAAAATATATATACTTAGAATTATAACTTTCTTACAAATTGAATATTTTTTTAATGTAAATTGACAATTTTTTTCATGTGAAATTTTTAAGTATTGATTTTATCTGACTATCAAAATACTAATTATATTAACGTATTATTTTAATTCATCAATATCATTATTAATAAAAATTATATGTTTGTATGTAGATTTAGTTTTTTTAGTTTTTTGTTTTATTTGGAAAATCATATACTATAAAGTTAACCATATATTTGATTAAATTTTATTAATATTTTAATTCTCTCATTTAGTTAATATGATTCGAGCATAACATTTCTGGATAGTTTAATTATATTATTTTAGAGTGCTTCTCATCAGTGACCATAATTAAAAAAATCAATATGTGCATCAATATAATTTAATATAAATAATTTAATCACTTATCAAAATACAATGAATAAGTTCATTTTTGTGTATAATTATTTTAAGATCTTATTGAATATGTATGTTATCAGCCAATAATAGTCAATTATTGTATTTAACTTAACACATGTCTAATGAATATTAACCATTAACTTAATAAAAAATAATTAATTTTTTATTTATGATTTTTTCTAAGAAATAAAAGCTAATTATATGCCAAGTACAAATAAAAAAAATTTCCTTCCTAAACCATGTTAATTATGGCGATATAGATTGGTCTATTATATAAATATATAATATAGAATATATAATTAGAATTATAACTTCTTTACAAATTGATTAGTGTATTTGATGTATATATACATTTTTCATGTGAAATATATAATAATTGTTTTTATCTGACTATTAAAATACTAATTATATTAACATGTTATTTTAATTCGTCAAAATCATTATAATACAAATGATATATTCATATTGTAGATTTACTTTATAGTTTTTTTTTTTGTTTTTTTTTTTTCATTCCAAATCATGTAATATAAAATCGACCATGTATTTTATCTATTTTTTTAGTATTTTAAATAAATCAATTTAATTAGTATGATTTGAACATACTTATTTTGATTATTCTTATTATAGCTTAAATGCTTTTGATCGGTAACCGCAATTAAATAAAGCAATATCTACAACCATAGAATAATTTTATAATTAAATTAGGGTGTGGTTTGATATAAGTTATTTTGGTTTGATTGTATTTGTTGCATACCCAAAGTTAATTTTGAACAAGTTGGTTGAGTTAGGTTCGAGTGGGATTTTGAGTTTGTATTAAAATAGTATTTAAAATAAAATGATTAAAGTTGATTTGATGAAAAAGTATGAGAGAGGTGATTGGAATGATGAGTAGTTAAAATTAAGTGGGTGAATAGTAAAATATAGTTGATTCTATGTAAGATGTGAGGATGGTTGATTGATATAATTATACATATAATATTGAGAGAGTTGGTTTGAGTTAAATTTGTATTGGATTTTGTCTTTAAAATTAAAAAAAAAAAGTGATTGGATAACTTGTATCCAAGCACCTTAATAACTTATCAAAATTATAATGAATGAATTCATTTAATTGTGTCAACAAATAATTATGTAATTACTTTAAGATCTTATTGAAAATATATGTTACCAGTCAATAATTCTATTTAAGTCAACGCATAATTAATGGATATCAACCATTGTCGAAATGAAAAATTATTAATTTTTTATTTATGAAATTTCCTAAGAAATAATATGCCAAATATAGAAAAAATAAATTTCCCTCCTGACACAATATCAATTATTGTAATTTAGACTGGTCACTATATAAATATGGATTTGATTTGTTAAATCTTCTGTCCTACATACATGTGATCTGCACGAAGCAAATATTAAAATCTTACCAGGTGATACCAAAGCAAGTTCTGCATAATTTACACCTCTTATGTATACTATGAAATTGAGTTACTAGAATATTGACGCTTTATAATTTTCAGCGTATGGAAGACAAGTCGTCTTGGTAGGATTGCAAAGGGAATTTGTACTTGGTGAAAACTTATAATTTATATGTCGGACTATCCAAACCTGACTTGTACTTTGGTAAATGCAAAACCATTACATATGGATTGGTCCAACTTGTCACATATGGTTGCAAAATGCTCTCTCTGCATTTTTTGTTTCTAATTTCTGGACCTGTAGCATCACAAGTGCAATAGTGAAGAAATAGTGTTTGTCAAAGCTTGGCACTGCAATCAACTAGACTAGACTACTTTTGCCAGCTTGTTATTCATATTGTTTCACTAGCTTTATTTTACATAAACATGATACTAGTGTTGGATAACTAAATTGTATATTTTCTTGGATTTCCTAGCAGCTTTTTTTGTGCTAACAAAAGGATCTTTATTAATGATCAGAAGAAGCTGCAGCTCAAACGAGTTACAGAAATTTTGTTGTTTTGAATTAATTGTATAATCAACTGCCTTTTTATTTTATTTTTTCGTGGGTTTTAGGTTTGTTGCTTCAGCCCGTCAGCTGGCCAAAGCCTTGGAAGTTCCGCTGGTAAATGATTTGGGATATACAAAGAGATATGTCAGATGCCTGCAGGTACAATCTTATTTCTTCCTGCCATGTAGATTTAGTTCACGTGTCAAACACAAGTTTCAGGTGCTCTTAGTGGAATTACCTGGAAAAATCACCCACTGATTGAGATTGAGTTGTAAAAGCAGTAGTTGGGCATACTTCTTTTGTTAATTTTAAAGGATGACCTCCATGTCAATGCACATTCCATTGAAAATTGGCATTTTACTTCTTTATATTGAACCTTGATGAAGGTTAATGTGCTGCATTCCGATTCTGGTTTATCACATCGAGTAAAATCCAGATTTTTTCGTGTTTGCTTGTTGATGTGTGGTGCTACTAACTGCAGTTGCCACAATTTTTTTTTTCCATCACTAACTTGCTAGCTTCCAATGTAATGAATGGTTTTTTGTCATCGTTTTCTAGTGATGGATGATAATGTGTCTTGAATGTCACTGTTAACCTTGCAGATATCGGAAGTGGTGAACAGCATGAAAGATCTTATTGATTATAGCCGTGAAACTGGTTCAGGTCCTATGGGTGAGTTTTGGTTTTTCTCGCAGTTCTTTTTACCTGATTTGTTTGTTTAATTTGGAAAGTGAGGCAGTTTGAATACTATTTGTTCTTTTCTACCTGATTTGTTCTTTTTAACTGATTTGTTTGTTTAATAGGACTAAGGATGCGTTTGAATACTATTCTCTTTAAGAAATTTTACCTAGTGAAATTTCATGAGAGCTTTACCTAAAAAAATTTGAAATTACCCTATTCACGCACTAATTTTTTTCTCCGACCAATCACTCCATATCGTTTTAAATATAAATCATGATTATTTGTGCACACTTTCCCCTATTTATCACTATTCACTCACATGTTACAACTGCCTGCTAAATCATGCACAATCATTGTTTCTCTTTTTACTTCCATGTCATATCCATTCACACTCGCAAAACTCAGTTCTTTTTGGAAAATCAATGCATCACTGTTTTTACTCTATTACTTTCTCCCATATCCATTCACACTCGCAGAACACTTCTCAACGTTTTGGAAAATCAATGCATCACTATTTTACCATTATGACATTTCCAATCGCACCGTTACCGATATGAAATTCATATCCCTCAATTCTAAAAAACAGCGTCATGAATGTCCTGATCTTAATATTCTCAATGTATAATTAGCCATTTTATTTGCGTGCAAATATAATATCACGTGTTACCATCCACCGATAATGTTGTTATTTTTTCGCTTTCAATTTTTTTTCCCACCCTAGAGAGCTTGTTGAAGTTTCCTCGAAGATCAAACCCATCATCCGCATTTCAAGGTCAAGGTCAAAGTCAAGGTCAAAGTCAACAACTCGAGGCCCAGCTACAGCAGCAGCAGCAGCAAGCGATGGGCCAAAACTCAAATAGTAACCCCATCCAGCCCACACCAATGCAACTTCCTTCCACAAGCGCTAATAACACCATCAACCCTGGGCCCACGACTCCTACTGAAACCATCGCCAATCTGCTCCATCAGAACTCAATGAACTCCCGGCCCGCCCAAAACCCGATGTCCGGCCCGAATGCCTCTTATGGGGGAAGCACCATGCAGATGACGTCCCCCAGTGGCTCATCTAACACCATGCCACAGGCAAACCCTCCTCAATCCCCCTTCCAGTCCCCAACTCCATCCACATCCAATAACAATAACAATAATAGCAACCATAATCCACAGCCTACATCTCATAATTCTGTGCCGGGACCTCATCATGCAAGCACGGTAAATTCACCTAATATAACAGGGCAACAGAACACTCTTGCGAATGATGCGGACACAAATGACCCCCAGAGCTCGGTGCAGAAAATCATACAAGACATGATGATGTCATCGCAAGTTGGCGGGGGTGGTGGGAGCATGGTGGGGTTGGGTTCAATGGGTGGTGACATGAAGAATGTGAATGGAGTTTTGTCATCGGGTGCTCACGCTGGCGGTATGAACGGCGGCAATATTCTCATGGGGACTGGCGTGAGTAATGGTGGTATGGGGATGTCGGGCTTTGGGGGTATGCAGAATGGGCTGGGCCAGTCGGGCATGGTCAACGGGATTCGAGCAGCCCTCGGGAATAACTCGTTATCTGTTAACGGGCGGATGGGGATAGGTCGGGAACAGGGGATGATGAATTCACAGCAGCAGGATATGAACAGCCAGTTGCTTGCTGGTCTTGGGGCTGTCAACGGTTTTAGTAACCTACAGTTTGACTGGAAAACGTCTCCTTAAAGCTAGTGTTTTCGTTTATTGTTTTTAATGTCGTATGTGTGTTGTTTGGGCGTATAAAGTGTAGTAGTAGCTGTTTGTGCAGCGTGGGAAAGTTGTCGGGGGATGGTGGGTAGCACATGTCGGAGAAAAGAGAAACGGGTAGCGTGCTGTGGCTTTATATTATATCCCCTGTTGTACTAATTTCAGAAAAAAAAAAGAAAGAAAGAAAAACGAAAAAACCTATATGATAGTTTTCTTGTTTGGTACTTCGTGTGTGATTGGCCTTTCTAAGCGTTGTAAAATTATGCCGACTCGGAATGTGCGCCCTGACAGCTGATCCGGCGGAACTAACCGATTCGAAGGAAAACAACAGTAGGTGAGAATGCAGCCGAGCTGGACTCTTATATTGCTCTCAAAAATATTATCTTGATTGTCAAGGTATTGTGACCTTTGGTGTGTGCCACCGTGCTTCGACTGCTCTTGGTATGTGAGTGTATATAGTACGGATTGTCTTCGAAGCCCAGTTTGGAGAACTTTTAGCAGTTTGGGAATTCATTTACAGTTTATTTGATTACTGTTATCTACCTTTATCTACGTGAAGTTATTTCATCTCTGGTTTGTGTGCATACAATTTGCTATGCATGCCCTTTGTATTGTTTTGCATCACCTACAAATGAATTATAGATTGTAGGGATGATAGTGGTCGTTCTCACATTTATAGTTTTCCATTCTAACCACTTTTGAGTTATATAAGTTTAATTTTGAGCTACGAAAACTTATCTTCTTCTTCATTAAATTATAATCAATTTATCATTTACCTTAAAATAATTTTGAATTTTTTTAAGTTCTTTATTTGTGAGAAATGAAACTGTAAATTAGAAAGGAGACATGAGGAGCTCCCTACAATGATCAAATCTGGAAGGGTAGCGGAAAAATTGTTCAGATAGGAAAGGTGAAAATGTTCGGATAGGAAAGGTGGAAAAAAGACTGGGTGTTGGCAGCGGTCTGGACAAGCGTGTGGCGTGCAAAGCGCGTGCACTGCCCATGGCGCTAGGCAAGGCGGCAGGTGGACAAGCCATAGTGAGCGACACGGTAGCAAATGCAGGGCGCACTACCAATGGGTGCATAGGGAGTATGGATTTAATTGTATGACGTTACTTCTATCTATCGATATATCTGTAAAAGAAACAATCATTTTATAAAATATTGTGCGGACTAAAAAGCAGTGTTCTAAAAGTCGCAAGGTGCCCGCTAGGTGCTCGACCAGCACCTAGAGCACCTAGACGGCGCCTAGTCGGGGCATAAAAATCAATATTAAACACCTTATTTTTTATTTATTTTAACTACCTACAAAATAAAACTATCTCAACTTATAATAAATCCACATACTTAAGTACAAATAATATTATTAATATATTTTACATAAAACATGCGAACAAAATAATGTAATTAGTATTAAAAAATAAAAAAACTGAAAAATTGCCGCCGAGCCCGTCTAGGAGCGCCTAGGTCTGCCTGGCCGCCAAGCCTGCCAAGTCTGCCTAGGATCGCCTAGGACTGCATAACCGCCTAGTCGATTTTTTCGATCGATTTGTGCAAATCGGAGGCGGCCGAACATCGTCTAATGCTTGTGGCGTCGCCTAGGCCGATTTTTAGAATAATACTAAAAAGTAGTTACATATGGTATATTTTTAATGGTGATTTTCTAATTAATATTAAATATTCTAATTTCAAAACTTAAGCTCCATTACAATAATACAATAGGATGTTACAAATTCTTGTATGAGGCAACTTAATCGTTAGGCGATTCGTCATACTATAACGAACCAAAATGCATTTTTATTTCGCTAAATGCCAAATTTTTTGTTTGTTTGTTGGTTGTAGGTCACCAACGGTTACAATAAGTATTTTTAAGGCGGTTTGGTTGAGGATTACAATATAATTATGGTGTGTTTTAGTACACAACAAAATAACCATGCGTAGAAAAGAAACAAAACACCGAAATTGCCGATCGGCTGTGACAACATGCAAGGAGATAGTTTTCCCAAAGTTTCATTAGAAAGTTTGTATGATAGATACAATTGAATGTTTTTGTGTGATCTTCAAGAGACCAGATATGTAATAGCGTGAAAAAGAGTAATATTGATCGTTATGATCTTTGAAGGATTTGTCTGAGTTGGCTTACTTTTTTTTTTTTTTTGGGCTTGAGGGCCAGTATTTATACATAAAAAAAGTGTCGGTGCATTCAATGAGGAGTGCCATATAGGAGTGTAGGATGGTGCCGCATGTTCTCATTAGAAAGTTGATGGGACATCTCGGGCATGTGTTCAGACGATAGAAGTGACCAGTCTTGTCGTAGAAACATCCGCGACCAATCAGAATGTCGGTTGGGCGATAAAAAACCCAATGGTGATTGCTTGGGCCGTCAGTGGGATGATTTCCGTGTTCTGGGCCTTCTATGTCTGTTTGGGAGGAGATTTGTATACGGGGCACGTTCTCTTTTGTGATCAGATATCATTAGGTACAACATAGAGGCTCTCAGGTTTCTAGGTGGGAGAGATTACTTGAGCCGCCTATAATGCTATGACCCAAATCCATGTCAGCATAAAAGTGCATTGCCGATCACATGCCAATTACATCATATGGGCACGAGACATTTTTTCAAAGCATTAAATGGGAAGACACATCTTGTAAGAATTAAGACATGTCAATTCAAGTGTAGACGCGTCTCTTGGTGTTTGAGCCTTGTCTGTTGCATTATCTGTCATGGATGAACGTTTTTTTTTCGTTATTGACAGGAAGAGTGGGATAAATTTGATTCATAATGTTGTCTATAATTTTGGATCCTATTTTAATCAGCTGAATTATCTTAGATTTTATATGGATATTTTGGAGCGGGGTGATAGAATATTATATGTGGCATCTATCAGACTCCACGGTGACTGTTTGGCTGATATGCCATTTATTGGGGCTCGTAAGATCTGTAGGAGTGAAGGAGTGTACAAGAGTTGATTTTTACGGCTAAATTGGCTAAAAAAAAATGGGTTGAAAAAGAAAGAATCAAACTGGTTGATCAGTTTTTCAACGGAGGCTACTAATGCATCTTACAAGCGACTTATGGATGTGTGTCGTTGCCATGTCCCGTTTGAGGTAGTCAATTATGTGTGGTCGTTTTGACAATGGATAGATTTTCTGTGAGTATATCCGTCTGTAAAATTGGTCCGATCGAGATTTCAGAGATGAGATTGCGCAATATTCGAGGGCGAACCCTTTTGGGGATGGGGAGAATGATGAGAAGAGATTGCATTGGCCCTTTTGGACAAACATGATCGTTTAGCATCGTTTGTTTACTTATTTTTTCCTTTTTTTTTATTTAGTTATTCCTTTTATTTTTAGTATTTATTAAAGACATCCTAAATTTGTAAAGAAACTTATATATTTTATTAGAGTCCTTTACTTATTGGATACAATATTTACATAGGGTTAGAAGTTCTATATAAAGACTTCTCTTATATTGTTTTGACGCAATTTAATTTTGATTGAAATAAAATAGATTGATAGTTTTCTCTTGATAATACCTATCGTTTACGCTTTCGCTACGTCATATTCATGGCCAAGACCTGCTTTCTAGAACATGCACAACCTGCTGTTCCTCAGAGATTCTTTGACTAGCTGCAGCTAAGATAGCACAACAGAATTTAACTTGGTTGAGATAAACCCTCATATTGGAGCCTCATTTCTTCATTGTCTGCAATTTTAACTTGTATTGCAGGACCCTTGCTTTGGACTGACTAGAAAATCCAAGCTCAAGGTTCTCTAGATCTCTGTCGAGGTTGTCAGGCCAACTTTTGTCACCAGGATAGGCTCAGTTAAGGAAGATAGGAGCTAAGAGGCCAAGATTTGATCTTGTCTCACCCATAAAGAGTAATCTGGGTTGAAGAGAACTTCACTCGAGCTTTCCTGCGTGAATTATCTTGCGATCTTTTGGTAAGCAAAGATAAAGTGAAACAAATCATATCCTTTGATGGAAACAAGAACTCGATGTTGCTAAACTAAGTAGTTGTTTTCATTTAATTCTTAAGAAATGTGTTGGATTTGAGGGAATAAGAGTTGGTTCTGTTTTTGATTGGTGGATAAAACTGAAGTGGAAGACATGGATAAGAAACAGATAAAAAAAACAAAATAAAAATAATCGACTATGGATATAGAGCTCACCCGATCGGTTTGATGCTCTGATACTATAACAAGTTTTACTGATCAACGTGCTAAGAAGAGTATGATCAGAAAGGCTGCATAAGTAAAGTTGCAATATCAGACTCTATTACTCATTATGTTTCTTGATTGGTAGTGTTTACAAACTGGTCTATTCTTCTTATACACTAAGAATGAAAGATCCAAAATAGGGACAACTGGTATAGGTAAAAATAGAATTTGAAAAGAGGATAAAAACTATCCATAAATAGGTAATAGTACTCCCATTGCTTGATGTGGCAGTTGCTCTCCTTTGTCCTTATGCATTGTTAGGGTATACTATAAAAGCTCCGCTATCAGCTTCTGATAATACCATTTTGAATGAGAATTATGTTTTAGTCAAGTATAGGTGTTTGTAGTTTTTTATTTACGCGAGCATAAGTTCCTTTATTTTACATTATAAATAATATGGTTTGTTGTGTCGAACAGAAAGATCATATTATGAGTTCCTTGTTAAATATAAATAATTGATTCACAAACTGGACAAATTATGAGTTCCTTGTTTGTAGTTTTAATCGGTCAAATTGTCAAACAAGCTAATTTTGGTCAAAATGCCAAAAATTGGCCAAAACGCCATTATCTAAACAAGGCTATATGTGGCATCTATCAGACCCCACGGTGACCGTTTGGCTTAGATGCCATTTATTGGGGCTCATAAGATCTGTAGGCGTCAAGGAGTGCAAGAGTTGATTCTTACGGCTAAATTGGCTAAAAAATGGGTTGAAAAAGAAAGAATCAAACTGGTTGGTCAGTTTTTAAACGGAGGCTAC